TAAATTGGAGGAGGATTATAATCATTTTAAAAGGCAATGGAATATTCCAAATACTTAAAAAACCGTAATCATAACACTGTCGACTTTGGGTATAATGAACCTTCTTACAACGAACTCTGGATATGATGAACTCAAAATTTTGAAATTTCATAATAGTTCGGTATAAAAAATGGCATGGTTCTTAAGAAAACAATAATTTTATATAACGAATTTTTTTCTTCCAAAATCTTCAGTTCGTTATAGAAAGAGTTGACTATACTTTCTGGCTGTAACAAATATTACGTTTATTGGAGTTTATTCGAAATAAACAAATTGTTCATCGTTATTATTTTAGTCTATAAAGTTTTTTCGTTTGTATTTTTTGTTCAAGTTACATGAATTTTTGGTGCTCTATATTTGTCCCGTGATGTTCGAAACTTTTTTGGTGGTGATTTTACCCCAGTCTAGCTACGCACGTCGTATTTATCAATTTTTGCCAAATAACCAAAATAAACTATAATTTCTGCCAAGTAGCCAAAATAAACTATCAATTTTGACAAATAATTACGTGTTATTAATTACCATTTTTGTCGCAAATTTATTCCTTTTGGTTATTATTAGTCATTTCCACAAACTTGTTAGTTATCTTTCCAGGCTTTTTATTTGTTATTTTCCGGAACTTTTAATAATGTAAATGAAGACCAAAAAATGATAGAAATAATTAGTAACACAAGTTCCTGTCATGTCATCATATGAAGCGGTAATAAAAATTTATTTCCCGTGTCAAGAAAATAATAGAAATATCTATCCAGTGGCACATGAATGAGCGCAAAGCGCTCCACATATGCCACGAGGAGATATTAATTATTTCTTCTGTCCCAAGGAATAAATAGTACTTAATACTAAAGCATCCACTTAAATGCTAAGAAAAACCACTTCAAGCATGCACATTTGTATGAAGGAATACCTAGCCAGCTATCTTCAAGTGAAAAAACCTTCGTACTTATTTACGTGCTTTAGCAACGAACCACAAAAATTACACTTAAACATAACGGAGTTCAATATTTCCGAGATTATGCAATGCCTAAATTTTTCCGTCATTTCAAGTTATTGTTGAACCTCTCAAGACCGATATGATGGTAGACAAGTTTTATGTCAATGTTGAGAGGTTATCATATTTTTAAAACATTATAAATTATTAGATGAAATAATGGTAAATTAATTTTTTTATCAGATTTGATAGATTACCAGTTTTTGGCAGGATCAGTTTTAGTCAACAGTATTTAATCTTTTTTCAACGATATTTCTAAAAAATCGAAAATGGCACAAGAAAACTCATAAAATGGAAATTGATGAAATAATGGTAAGAATTATCCCATCCATTTTTTTCATTTATTCCGAGATATAGAAGAGTTTGTTTATGGGCTCGTAAAACTATATTAAAACGCAAATTACAATAAGAGTTTGTGGAATGCTAATTATTAGAACTCAGCATGTATTAGCATGAATAAAAAAAATAAATATATATGCTAGAGAATTTTACGTGACCTTACGAAATTTTAAACAAGGGACGAAAAGAATTGAAAATGTCATCAAAGAAACCCAGGAAACTATTAATTTTCAAAAAAACCTATAATTAGATTCTATCAAAAATATTATCGAAGGAATTACTAATTACTGTATATGTGATGTTGATGCAGATCTACATTTAACAATGGATCAAAAGGAAAGTATTGCATTAGTTAGGAATATAGAAGTTATGAAAGAATTGATGCAATATATTTAAGAGTTTACGCAACGACTAGATGTCTTATCGACAAAGAAATCTTTAATAACACGTTTCTTAAATCCAAAGATTTTACATCACTAGGTGATATTAGCAGCAAAGTTCAAAAAAGATAGAATAAACCCCTAGTAATACCGAAATTGCACTTAAAAAAGTGTATGCAGAAAAACTAGTTATAAGTCGATAGATCATCCAAGTTTAAATGAAGTGCTTAGCAAACTTAGGATAATAAATGATTCAATCAATAAAAAAAACAATCCACCTAAATCACAACGCAATCAGTTAGTAACAAAAAGAAAAGTCGGACCTTATGAAGAAGTCTGGAAGACAATTAAATCTATGATTAAAATATTGGAAATGTTATTTATCTTTACAACAAGACAATTAGCTTTTTTATTCTGATGATGAATGAGTTCAACTTGCTACCAAGTTATTTAAAGCAGCAGTAGACAAGGAAGGAATCGGTTCAGAATCAACTTGCTTCGAAGCATAAATTAGGATTAATGTATTATTACTGTAAAGGTATCAATAAAATGAGGAAGTGTTGAAAGATGTCATTACTTTTTTAACTTTTATTTTCATTTAATTATACAAATTAATTTATTGCAAATTTGCGAGATAAATTTCATTCGTAAAAACAATACCCTCTACCAAGGTTACTTTTAATCTGTGGTATCTGATATATTTTTAACAATCGAAGTTAAATGTCTCGGTATATAAAATGTGAAGATTAGTAGTGTCTTGAAAATACAACCCACTTTTGCCTAATTTATGATATTTAGTTTGAAAAAAATTTTTGATATGGTGCTACTAAAAACTAGAGGTTGGAACCGGTTTGTATACAAAACCGGGCTAACCCGAAATACAACTGGTTTATCGTTTGACTCGAATGTCAACCGGTTGGAACCGGCTTAAAATCATCGAGAAGATGATTACTGTAGTTTAAATTATAACAATAATGATAATAATTAGCGCTAATTAGCAACCACTACTGTACCAAAAGCTTGATCCTTTACTAACACTAAATTCAATAATGACGAATATTGTAAAATTTTAAAATGATTTATCGTTATATAACAATAAACGAGATTACGCATTAGATTGAATAGATGATCCTATATACTGTAAAGCGTAAGTCCTTATTAATAATATATATAGAATGAAATCACCCACTAATAATATAGAATGAAATCACCCACTAATAATATATGATGTAAACGAGAATTTAAAATTATAAATTACAACAAGTCATAGAGTGATTTCTCTAGGAAAGTTTTATTTGCGTTGCTTTTGTTCTTTACAATCTCAATTACATATTATGTAATATAAAAAAAAAATTAAACCACAATTCACATCTATTAATCCACAATTCACATCTATTCAATTAACATTAACTATTATAATTCAAGGTTCTTTGCAAGTAATTTATCTACTATGCAAATTCGAAATATAACCATAATCTTTAACGACACCCAACTCTTGATAAGTTTTACAAACCTCTTTAACGTTACCAACACATTCGACAAATTGATCCCAATGAAAACTAATCTTTTTCCCCGAATTCCTCCTTCTATTAAAAAATAAATTTACAGTTTCTTCGTATACCAAACATTTACCATTAATTTTCAAAATTTCCAAATTAGGAGTTAAACTAGTTGACAATCGAGTCAACAAGAAATCAAAAGTTGGACGATAATCAGATATACCCATTAAATATATATGTAAAGATCTCAAATTGGTACATTTGTCAAGTAATAAACCTAATTGATCAACGTCATTTTCCATCATAGGACCCTCAAAGACCTCAAGATTTGGACAATTTGTAGCAATGGAAGTAATAAATTGTCTTGTATCCAAAAGGACCAAATTTAATAAACCAGTTAAAAAGGTAATATGTCGAAGTTCACCAGCAGTATTTCCTACAAACTGAGCAAATAAATCCAAAAATTCGAGAGGTTGACATAAATGAGTTTGAAAATAAAAAGTTTTTAAACGTTTAAGTGGTAAACGAGCCAATGGTTCCCAACCCTCTCTAGAAAAAACATGATCAAAAGATCTTAAATATAATTCCTCTAAATTAGCAAAGTTCACTAAAAAGTCCAGAGGGAAACAAATATTTTCAACGGATAAACGAATTATTGATTTAGTAGTCCAATCGGAGAAAGAGTCCAGTTGTTCATAAGATATAGTAGCATCATTTAAAGATTTTTGAACGTCGATAAAATTAGCGAAATTATCAGTTGGACGATAACCATAAATACCCAATTGCTTTATATTTTGACATTTTGAGGTAAGAGAAGCAAAAATTCTAGGCATTACTTGATTACTTCCACTATACTTGAAATCTTTAAGATATATAAGACAATCAAGGGCTTCGGTAGTGTTTTCAAGAACACTAGCCAGAATTTCCAGACAATCAAGCATTTCATCATCACAATATCTTAGATCTAAGCTACGTAGACTTGATGATCTTGTGAGTAAAAGTTTTGTTACATGTTCAACAATAAGATAATGAATCATTTGCTGAGAGTCATGATTAATGATACCATTTTTAAGGGAACGATCAATCCAGAATTTAACGGAACTACCAAAAGAAGATAATTTCAAATGTTTCAAAAAACTAGCATAATCAAAAGCGGAAGTACGTTGAGCAGCCTTAATATTTATTTGAACATTTGCTAAAGAATCTTTTGAATGTTGAGGTAAATTAGAAATGTAAGCGTTAATAAGTAATTCATGACGCCTTGCTAAATCGGAACAAGATCTGATCGCCCAAGGATTACTCCATAATAAAGGCATAGAGGCCTTGCACCAAGTTCTATTGACTAGAGCACAAGGAAATAATATAGCGATATCGTCAGCAGATTGGGAGAGATAGTTGAATATATGAGAAAGACAATCTTCGTTTAATTGAGGGGCCATTTATAAAAGAATCGCTTTAAATAACAGAAAAGTAGGATTTAAAACGAAAATAAAAAATTGAAGTTAGGATTAGGCAGAAATTTGTAATGAGTGGATAAGAATAATTTAGGCCCTGTAACATAAAAACTTTATTAATTTATACATACATAGTATTGCAATGAACTACGCCGCAACAGAGATTAGTCGAGAAAAAGAATTGATTGCCTTTGTACGTTATTATTGATGTATAATTTATACGCATTACAAATCAAGTACTACGTTACATTAACTATTGACAATTGTTACAATTATTCAAATTATTCATGTGAATTGTGTAATTCTTAACAAAATCGATCATTCGTTAATGTAACTTTTACAGTAAGCATAGCATACGTAAAATATTCAAATATATTCCTAAAAAATTAGTAATTTACTTATTGTACGTATATTTCATACAGAGCAATGAGTGAATAATGAATTAACTTGACAAAAAAATTAACATAATTCATAATTCATAATTCATAATTCATAATTCATAATTCATAATTCATAATTCATAATTCATAATTCATAATT